GATTTATTATCAAAAATTAAATAATTTATTTCATGCATGAATATTACTTTATTATATTAATATAATATTAAAACCAACCATCCAGATTAGTATTTGATAAACTATTATAAGAGAATTTGTCAGACATTATATAAGTTAGTATATCAAACAAGTTAGAAAATTCAACTAATATTTGTGTTAGTAATATGAGAGTAATTGCATTTTTTATGATGATAAGATAACTTATATCTGTTTATATAATAAGTCTGTAAATACAATTATGCTTTAATTTTTGGAAATTTACTTTATACAATATTAATATATGTGTATTTAGAATCTTTAACTGGATTATTGAAGTTCTTATATAGAGATATTTTGATCTATCACTAAAGATGACTCCTTAACTATTGCAACATAATGACAAATAAGCATTTTTTAGTTGCTACTAGTTATGACTTATAAAATTTTGAAGTTATAACATGTTGCAACAGATGACAAATAAGCATTACATACTTGCTATGCCATCTCTATCTATTGCTATATTTAATTTGCTAAACATAGATGAATAATATAAAATAATAAATAAAGTATTTAATATAAGCATCAATAAATTACCAGTTTGATATGTTAATGGTTTATTTATTACAATCTTTATTAATTACAATACAGCTGATTCCCTTTGAGTATCATCCATAATGAATAGTAGTTTGTTTTAAGAAATTGCATGAATGATAATATTATTATCAAATTATAACACTTGATTATAATTCTTAATTATTTTTTTAAATGTATAAATGTTCATAGTGCTCTGATTATCAATTCTTCTTATGCTTATTTTTATTCGCCATTAACAGAAAAAATGCGCCATTTGATAGCAGTTATTAACTGAATAATAGTATATACATACAGTTGTTTCGGCTTTCACATTAAATCAAAATCCAAATTCGGTATATTATTTAACATCAAATCATAATAATTACACATATTCGATGGTCATGAGACTGCCTTTTTTTAAACTTACCCAATGAAATATGATGGCTTGTGTGTCTCATAATCACGGGTCTGCCGATTATTTTCGGCACCACTAAGTTATTAGGACTTTATACTCTTACGAAACGAAAATTGTTCAGTAATTTTTGGGTTGTCGAGCTTGGAAGATGATTTTATTCAAAATAGTTTGTTATCAATAATTCAGATGTTCAAAAAATTTATCGTTGTTACAATCACAACGACTCCAAAATCAGCCCCTAAACAAAATTAATGCAACAGTTATTACATATGTATATAAAGGATATGCTGCTGCTTTTACTTTGAACAATCAATTTTTTAATCTACAACCCTTATGTTCACAGAATTCTTTCATTGCTGTCTTAAATGATAAAATTTAATCTTACATGTACTGCCATCCTAGCGTGCTTAACTGTGATGGTGCACACTCAAACCGATTGCCAAGTGTGTAACAATGCGCTCAATACGGCATACAAATGCGCAGGTTTATAATATAATTATCTTCTCAACTTTACCTCATGCCACAATAGCAAGATGTTCATGTAATCAGAACTTCATTAATGGATATGCAAGGTATGTAAAAACTCAAGCGAATAAGCGGATGATCTTGGATAAAAAGTGTATACTAATTAGCATTTAAAACTATTATAGTTGTGCTTCTTGCGTTATATACGCTTACGATAACCTAATGTCACGCTTCGGTAAGTAACTTGATTTCTTTATATAACCAGTTATAGCTTCTCAACTCATCTATATACATGTGCTTTCTTTGTAGCTGTCGTTAGTTCGTGTCAAAGCGATGGTTATCCTGTGAAGTTGCCCAGCAATAGCAATTCGGGAAGCAGTACTAACACTAACGAAAGCAGCAGCACTGACACTAATGGAAGCAGCAGCAACTCTAATGGCAGCAGCAATGACACTAATGGAAGCAGCAGTAACTCTAATGGCAGCAATTTGGGAAATAGTAACAACTCATCATCAAGCAATGCAAGCAACCAAAACTCATCATCAAACAGTACACTCAGCACAGGCGCTATTGTTGGCATAGCTAGTGGAGGTACTATTTTATTAGGGTTTGTTGCCGCAGCACTGACAGTTTATTACAAATGGTTGCAGGTTAAAAAATTAAAAAATGAGCAAATCAGCAATAAAAACAAACCGGATCCCAAGCCTGTATGATATATCAAAAGTTTCTATGTAACTTTTAATTTTTCCATATATTCCATATACGTATATCGTCCTCTATTATTTGATTTGAGTAAATGGTAAATATTCTTTTTTATGAAAGAAATTTGTACAGAGGAAAGTTGTAGTTTCCGTTCTATATTTATTTCAACCACGTTATTATCGTAATCTAGTTACATATTGACTTTAATTCCATAGCCATTTTTTTATATTTGTATATTAATTTATTCATTAATTTTATTATTGTAGATATTTTTAATAATTTTATCATTTTAATTGTTTCAAGTGTTATATGATATTTTGATGTTTGTTTTTTATTATTAAAAAGCTGTAACATAATTTAAGGAAAAAAAAGATAAACAAAATAGTTATTTATTTTGTGACTTCTGTGTAGTATTTACTTACCATTTATCTTTTAAATAAAAGATCAAAAGAAATGCAATACTTATTTGTGCAAGTTCACATATTTATCTCAAAATTGTGCTTAATAATAGTAAATTAAATTTTATAAATAAAAACTGGTACTATTAATGTTCTATATTAATTTTATTTAAATTTTGTCAGCTACTTATAAATATATCATGATTTAACAATTTTTAATTTTGCGTTGCATTACTTTTGATCACCACTTATATATATAGACACTTTTGAGTCTTTAATCAAGTTATAATAAAGTTCAAAGTAATTGAAACAGTATTATCTCTTGCTTATATTATTGAACTTTGTGTTTTTTCATTTTTTACCAGAAAAAAGTCATTAATGCTTTGATTCCCTTTGTAGAACAGTCTAAATGTAAAGAAACCTTGTTCCGATCATACGTCTTGTGACTGTGAAATTTATCCGTCAGCCTTAAAGAAATCTATTGTTAAAAATAAATCACGATCCTCTTTGTTAATTGTGCAATCATTCCCTATAATAATCCAAAGTCTGCACCTTTAACATCAACAGTAACTGTAATCACTGGCAAAATCCCTTTAGAAATACAGTAGAGACCCTCTCGCATCTCATTCTAATTTCTCACAAACTCCTTTGAAGCCAATAGATAGGATAGGTGTAACAGTACAAAGTCGATCATGAAATTTATCTCGAAATTTTACCAAGTAAATTAGTAAAAAAGTTCAATTTAAAAAAACTGTATTAGAAACAATTGTATTATTTATAAATTAAAAAAATTGAAAAGAAATTGAAATGCCATTACTAGTAATAGTCATTATTTTTACATGTCAAATTACATTCAAACTTGTCATTGACATGGAAGGAAATTTATCATATATTGATTTTTTAGAGTATGATGCCCTACTCTAAAGTTAAAAAATTAACCACCACAAAATTCCGTGCGGACTGTACTGGACAAGCAGATAAAAAAGAAATTTACGATGTTCTTCCTTATATGAGTCCAGAAGTGCTAATGAAAAGCATATACTAAAACAGCAGATATTTATAGTTTCGGGATGATTATGTACGAGATTGTGGCTGGTGAACGACAATTCGGTGAGTGAATTATAATGTTCCTGGATGATGCAAATTTATTATAGAAAATGGTGGGATTCTATTTCAGAAAAAATCAAATGCTGGAGAGCTTAGAAACCTTATCTTCTCTATCCATGTTCCAACAAGCAACAAATACTTTGCTTTTTAGTACTAAAACTCTTTAAAAAGTCCTAATATAGATGAAGAAACAAAGAATAATAAATTAGAGAATCAGCGATTAGTTAAACTTGATGAAATTACAAAAAAACATTTTTATTTATATCTAAATTATATCGATAATGATAACGATAATCATATTAATTAAAGATTGTATTAAATATTTAAGATATACGGGTATCAGTTTGTTCCAAATGAAGGTTATCATACTTTCATTATTGAATTCATTATTATATGTTCCTAGAAATACTGTTCAACAAACAAATCATGTGTGATTGATATTTAAAATCACCCACTCTACTATATCTTATACCAATAATGTTATCGAAATCTGTATTCGTGCCTCGAGAATAAAAGCATTATCAGTTGTCCAGTTATCAACATTATCTTAGAAAATGTCTTGTTTGACATGATTGACATCAATGACTATTGCTTCTTAAGCTTTGATAATATTCGAACAGGTATTACGTTGACCTTTGGTGCAATAGAATTTTTTAAAAAAAAGAAATTTTCATCTGTTAACTACGAAAATTCTAAGTGGTTGTTAGCTTACGTTTGGTTTGCAATTTTTAATCCCAATCAAATTCTACGATTTTCGCTAAACGAATTGATTATATTTTAGAATGCTAGTCGTGATTCATCGGAATTTATTTCAGAACCAAACTTTATTCTAATGCTCGAGGAATAGTTTCGCAATAATATTATTTTTATAATTAATTTGGTTTTACTACCAAATTAAAATTAGATAAATCTCACGAATGATAACATTAAAAAAAGAAATAAGACATCATAGCTTTATGTTCATGATTATTAAAATATTCTTGAAATTATTCTTATAATTTTAATTAAGATGATATAGTTATCTTCAAGTTATTCTTTTAGAAATTATTTTTTTATATCTTGATTCCAAGAAAAAAAAAGCTTTTACCATTATTGTTAAAATATGTTCTATTTCTATATCATAGTATTTTTTAGAAGATAAATATCTAATTGAATTAATAACAATTATATATTTCTTATCTTTGAGAAATAATAGTATAAATGAAATATCTTTTGCTAATTTCTGAACAAGATCTGTCAATGATTAAAAGACCAGAGTATTTTATCTTTACATCAAATATACTTGATACAAGATATTGATTACAATTAAAAATGAACTTTTGGCATTATTAGACTCTGAATCATTAGTATAATTAAGCCAGATTTCTAATAAATAGTTTATTTTATTATTATTATTATAAATTATTACTTGCTTAGTTTAAATCTAATATATATATATATATATAGTTAGTAAAAATCTTATATTATCTTTGTATCTATTAACTTTAAGTAATATATTATTAACTTTAAATCATATTATAACTAATAGAATATTTGAAAATAAAGAAAAAACTATATAAGTATATTATTAAATTTAATTATTATTTATTAATCATTTGAATCTGCTAATATCTGATTTATTAATTAATTATTTATTAATTATTAATTAGTTATAATTTTATAATAATAATATAATAATATTTATAATAATTAAATATTATTATTATATATTAATAAAATTTATTTTGAAGTTTTTATTAAAATTTCTTTAATAATTTAAATTTTATATTAAATATATTTCTAATAAGTTATTAAATTATTATTATTAATATAAATTTTAATTATATACTAAATAAAATTAATTTTGAAATAGTTTAAATAAAAAATTATTAATATTTTAATTATATAAATATTTAAATAATATTTTTAAATTAATTTAATAATTATTTTAATATTAAAATTTTCTTATTATTTTATAAACTAATAAATTATTAAGAATATTAAAAGATATTTATATTTGCATAATTAAGTTAATAATTAAATTATTATATTATTAATTTAACAAATTATTTTTAATTATATATAATAGTAATCAAAAATAATAATTTAAAGGCTAAATTTATTAATAAAATATAGTGAAAATTAAAATTTTTTCTTTATAAAAATAAAAATTATTTCTTAATAAATTTTAAATTTTAATATAGAGAGAAAATTTTAATTTTCATTATATTTTATTAATAAATTTAGACTCTGAGTTATTACTTTTAATCATTATAATATATTAAAAAATTATAATATTATTTTTAAAATATATTTTGTTAATATTAATTAAATATAACTTTTTAATAATATTAATATTATTAAATTTTTTGATTATTATATAATATTATTACTTAATAATTTTTAATATAATTAATTTTTATTTATAATTATTATATAATATAATATTAAAGATAAAATTATTAATAAAAAAAATTAAATTTTTTATTAAATAAAATTATAAAAATATAATATAAATTAAAAATAAAATATATTATTATTTTAATTAAAAATATAAGCTTTTATTAATAAAATTATAATTTTATTATATTTTAATTAAATATTATTAGTTATTTAAATATATATTTAAAAAAATATAATATAAATATAAGTATTAATATAAATATTTTAAATTTAATTAAAAAGATAAATAATTTTAGATATTAATATTTATATATTATTTAAAATAATTATTAATATAAAATTTAATATATTTAATATAAGTATTTAAAGAATTTTAATTATATAAATATATTTATAAATATTAAAAAGCTTTATAAATTTATAATTAGCAAAATACTTAAGAATTAAAAACTGAAAATTTATATTTTAATTATATTAATATTGAAAATTTTTAAATAAAATTATTATTTACTTTTGAATTTATATTATAAATTTTTAAGTAAAATAAATAAATAATATAAATTTTAAATTTTATAATATAATAATAAATAAATATATAAATAAACTAATTTATTTTTAATTATTATATATAAATTATATTATATTAAAATATATAATTTAAAATAAATATAAAAAATATAAAAAAAATATATTTTTTATATTTTTTCAAGTACTAAAATAAATATTAAATTATAAAAAATTTATTATTTAATTTTTTATATAAAATATTTTTAATTTATATTATAAAAGTTTATTAATTTATTTATTTTAAATTTATTTATAATAATATAATAATTTTTTATATTTTATATATTAATAAAAAAAATTTATATTTCAAATAAATATTAATAAATTATTTTTTTAAAATAAAATTTAAATTCAATTAAGTTATTAGATATTAGAATTTATTTAAAGTTTACTATATAATATTTAATTAAAATTAATATAAAAATTATATTGTAAATAATTTAATTATTCAACTTTAAATTTTAATATTTTTATAACTACTAATTTATTTTTATAAAATTTAGAATATATATTTATTATATTTAAAATAATTTATTTATATAATTTAAAATTTTAAT